AGGAGATATGCCAATTCCTGATTAAATAGTATATTGAAAATTAAAAAAGTATTTCCTACCTGTGTTTAAATTCAGCAGATATATATAAAGCAGGCACAATGTGTCAAGGATCTTCTAAGGCATAGTGTTAAGTAATAAGAATTAAATTAGGGAAAGAAGATGGAAGGAGAGGGAAAGGAGATTTGCAACAGTATCTGCAACTTGCAAGTAGAAAAACGTACAAGCCATCTACAGTCTTTCTGTAATTTCCTCCCCCAAATGACCAGCCAGGAAACCGAATAACAAATGTGAGAAAACCTCCTGCTGCCAGACAGAAATCTTTCTACAAAAAAGATACACAAGGCACCAGGCTATTATTCATTCATCAAACATATACTAAGCTTTTAAGGCTATGTCCTCTTTCATAGGTATCAGGGGGGAATAGAGAGGTGAGGACCTAACTCAGACCTCCTGAACCTACATCTCTATTTTGCATTTACCTTTAATGCCCAGATGATTCATAATGATTATCTATCTAATCATCTAGATCTAGAAACTCCTACTTTAGGAGATGCAAAAGTGACTAAGTTCTTGATCTCAAAGAGCTACCATAAATGACAGGCAAATACACAAATTTCCCCAAAACTATGTTAAAATGAAACATGAAAGGAAAGGAACAAATTCCTTGCTATGAACATATAGAGGAGGAAGAAATACATGTACTGTAGAGGGAGTAAAAGAGGAGCTCATAGAAATAGGTATGTTTGTATTAGTACAGTTACCATTTGAGCATGAAGAGGGGGAGGAGGAAAAATATATTAATATACCTGATAATAAGAAACATATCTCCAGTGTTCATTGAGAAGCAGGCCATGTCCTGGATATGCCACATAAATCCTCTCAAACAATCTAAACCAATCAGGTAGGTCCCATTATTTTCCCATTTTTCAGATGAGGCAGCAAAAGCTCAGAAAGTTTATGTAATTTGCTCAGCCACACAGCTCAGCTAAAGATTGAGGAGTTGGAGTTCAATCCCAGATCTATCCCATTCCAGATCTATATGCCTCCCTAGAAGATAAACAAAGACCAGATGTGTCAGATACAGAAGACCAAGCATCCATTGTTCCCTTTGTCTGGAGGGTGGCAGAGTCAGGGGAGTCAGGGGCAGGAAAGTGAATTAATACAGGCTGTGGATGCTGTATTAATTACACTATCTGGGCTTTCAATAGTAGTACGGGGAAAACCACTGAAGGTTTCTGAGTGGAGAATACTCTGATAAAATCTTAGTCTTTAGGCTGAGAGTCATGAGTTATATCTCACAATCTGAAATGATAAAAATCAAACTTTGAAGCTTTTCATCCTGCCGTTAAACAAAAAAGTATGGCCAGAAGCCAGGTGGAACTACTGCCTGACAGCTGTCCAGACAAATTCCAAACATGCCAGTCCTCAAGGAAGAATCTACAGGGCAGGTCTCAATATAATTGTGTGAGTGCCTGTTACACAGAGGACAAGGACCTCCTCATTCCTGGAGCTGTCCACATCTGGCATAAGGATAGCCCTGGGGACTACAACATTCCCCGAGGCCTGAGGCAACCCCATGGGGCAGAGGGCACAGAATGGGCATGGGCAGTGATTGGTATTGTCAGAACCCAGACTCCTGACTCCCAGCTCCGTGCTGCCTTTCATTAAACTTTTGGCTCTGCCACTAAATATGTGACACTGGGTGAGCCACTTTCCCTCTCTTGATCTCCCTTTCTTCAACTGTGAAATGAGAAATTGAGCTTGACGGGACTCAGATTTCCCAATTCTCAATCCTTTTCCCCTCCAACAGGACAGCATAAAGGCTCCGCTTCCATCAGTGTCTGGCTCGCTAACTGGGATCTGGTGAAGGATCAGCATCTCCTGAGAGCTTCTACAGTTTGTAAACTAGCTGAGAATAATTGTATTTCTTCATCTCTAGGAAGCCTGCTAGTTCTGACTGCATCATGCGATTTACAGGTCTCAAATCCTTGCTACAAAGTCCTCACTAAAGTCAATCTGGCCCAGGATTATACTCTTCAAGTGCAAACTGGATCACTGATGTCAAAAGTAATTCATGATGATATCCAGGCATATGTAAGGAATTCATTTAATGATCGGATTCAGTCCATATCATCAGGGAATGAATCACTTTAGAATCCACACCTGTCAGAAACCAAGGATGCTTTATTATTATTTGAAAGTTGTGTTTTGCTCTGAAAGGATGGTGTCTGGCTATGTTCACCTGAGTGCCTTTGTGTGTGTGTGTGTTTATGAGTAAAATTCCAAGGAAGCCACACAGAGGCTAAACCATGAAGTTGTGGAGTTCTTGAGAGCAAAGAGGGAGGAAATGTGGTGGACCTTATCAGATGTTCACAAAGACACTTGGGCAAATGCAGGCCATAAAAGTGAATTTCCTATTCAGTCATAAAAAAAGAAAGAAATTCTGCCACTCTGCAACAACATGGATGGGCTAGAGGATATTATGTTAAATGAAATAAGCCAGGTGGAGAAAATAATACCACATGATTTCCCTTATATGTGGAATCTAAAATCAAAACAAAATAAACAAAACAGCAGTAGATCCAGAGACACTGAGAAGTGACTGGTGGTTACCATGAGGGAGGGACTGGGCTGGGTGGGTGGGTAAAACAGGTGAAGGGGATAAAGAGGCACAAAATCTCACTCATAATATAAATTAGTCACAGAGATGAAAGTACAGCATAGAGAATATAGTCAGTAGCTCTGTAGCATCTCTCTATGTTGACAGATAGTAATTACATTATTTGGGGTAAAATTTAATAGTGTACATAACTGTTGAATCACTATGTTGTATACTTGAAACCAATACAATATCATATATAAACTATACAACAAAAATTTTTAAATGAATTTTTAAAGGAATAAAAATATTTCCTCTTTAAGAGTTTATCATTTCTGTAAATTCAGAAAACTTTGCCTATCAGAGCAGAGATGAATAAGGAGAATATTCAAGATTTGTTCTGTTCTCAGAAACACTACTGGTAAAACAGAAATTAGCACGTGAATTCCCATATTTTTTGAAGGACTTTTTAAACTTCATTGGTTCATCAGACCACATCCAGCAGTTCACCCACAAAAGTGCCCATGAGTGATTGATTCCTATAAGCAATTCACTGAAAAATTTGAGGTATGTTATACCTATGGCTTTACCTTCTTTGACTTCCAACCAGGGGGCAAGAGCAGGAGAATGGCTAATAGATGTTAACAATGACAGTGAAGCATGCTTGGTTACTGAACCAAGGAAACCCCCATTTTGAGAGTTACCATATGGTTACTTGCTTTTATAGGACTGAACAGGAATGTGCATTCCTTCTCCAGACCNCTAATAGATGTTAACAATGACAGTGAAGCATGCTTGGTTACTGAACCAAGGAAACCCCCATTTTGAGAGTTACCATATGGTTACTTGCTTTTATAGGACTGAACAGGAATGTGCATTCCTTCTCCAGACCTGGGAAAGGAAAATCTGCCCAAGATGTGTGACAGAGCTATCAGCAGGACTGCCAACCTTACATTTGAGACTCCTGGGAAGATCGTGCTACAGGGACCAACCTGGACCACCCAGGCTCTGCTCTGGGAATTTGCTTAAGATTATCGCCCACTGTCAGGCAGGTGCTCAAGCCAACTGATTAATTTCTGTAAGACCACCAAAAACTGTGCCACTCATTGAAAAGAAATCAGATTTCTACTTCATACATTAGCAAATCCATCAGGTGTAACAAGCAAAAAGAAGACAAATCCTGGAAAGAATGCAGGCTTTTTACCTTATTTCTTGCTCAAGATACGATGCTAGTGAACTCCAGCACCTTAGCCACAGCACTGGGAGTTAAGAATTAGTCTCACTTGTGATTTTCTGTACTTCACCAGCAACTGTAAATTTCCAGAGAACCCTATTACCTGTGAGGGCAGAAGCCTTGTGGGATGAGCTGCAAAAGGCATTGGCTCTCTGTACATGATGCATGTTTTTGCCACCTAAGAAATGCAGCCTGGTCCACTGGCTGGCATGATCAACCCACTCCCAAAGCTGCTACTTCTCCAACAGTTGGAAAACAGACATAGATACATTGACATGGAAAGCCATAAGGGGAGGAAATGTAAGTTCAGAGCAACATGTTGTTGGGGGGTGGGGGGTGGAGATGCAGGGATAAGAAACACAGGCTAAATTCTTTCTGCTGAGGTGTCCAGATCTTCCAAATTGTGAATGTGGGGAAAATGCCAATATACACTGTATACCTCCTGACACAGAAATATGCACAAAAATAAAACCAAAAGGAGAGTACTGGGCATCTTATGTCCAATAACAAAGCCCAATTCTTACCTCCAGATATTGGTAGCCCACTATCAAAGGAGAGAAAGTCAGCACTTTGGGTAAATACTTTCAGTGAGACTGCCTCACACAGAGTCACCTCTTCCACACATACCTTCCCTTTAACCTTTGATCTTTTATTTTTTTTAAAGGTGTGGAGGAGAAAAGAGAAAAACAAACTTGTTCCAGAACAAATCTACTTTTAACTCTGCCGTTCTGAGGATTTCTTTTAGACTTCAGGGTAAAGGTGCCGAGTAGAGTGTAGAAGGCATGAGGAAGTGGAGTCGTAAGATACATGGGGATGAAGCTAGACCAAGAAAAGGAGCGAGAGAAGACGTAACTAGAACCAGCCCTGCTAAATTAATCTCAGAAATTAATGCTGAGTGGGCACTTTAAACATCACTGTATCAGTATAGTCCTCTTTGAGTGAGAAGCTGAGGCCAAAAGAGCTAATGGCTTGCCCAGGTTCATCAAGTGCTGATTACCGAACTGGGGTCACCAGATATCGGGATCCACAAACAGGAGACAGAAACGTTAAAGGAAACTCAATCTGAAAGGCTAATGGGTAGAGAGATGGCAAGGAGAAAGGAGCAGCGGGCCGGACTGGACAGAGCATCCCGGAGCCGCAGGGGGCATTGGCGTGCGCGCTGGGTACCTTGATGTAGGCCCGCTGCAGGTAGTTGTAGGGCACTCTGCGCTGGAAGTCGCTGCGCACATCCTCGCTGACGCGGTGGCGGGACGCGGGTCCCCCGAGGCGCTGGGTCTGGCAGCCGCGGTAGCAGCGCGCCCTCTCCAGCAAGGCACGGAAGAAGGGCAGCTCGGCCCCGGGCCCGACCCCCGGGGGCGCGAGAGGGCGGCGCGCGGCGCAGTAGCGGGCGCAGCGCGCGCGGATCTCCCGCAGGCGCCGGTGGCTGCGCAGAGCTACCTCCAAGTCGCGCACGGCTCTCTCGTAGTCCCCGCGGTAGTAGGCGGCCACGCCGCTGGCGTAGAGCAGGTCGAAGGGCTGCAGAGGCCCGGGCTCGGGCTGCCGCTCCGGGAGCGCGCGGTCCGGGGGGCCGCCCCACAGCGGCGGCGGCAGCAGAAGAGCCAGCAGCAGCGACAGCGGCGCCCACATGCGCTCCCGCATCCTCCGCCGCGCTGCCGGACGCTCGCGGCCCCGGCGTCGGGGCCTGGTCTCCACCTGCGCGGGCGAGGGCGCCGGCCCCCACGATCTGACTGCCCTGCGCACCCCAGGTGGCCGCTGGCGCTCCGCTACTGAGGCGGAGGCCGGGCCGGCTGCTCTTTAAGGGACGCCCACAGCGCGCACGCTCCTCCTGCCGTCCGAGCCGCGGCGAGGAGCCGGCGCTCAGCGCGCGCCCTGCAGGCTCCGGGCCGCAGTCGCCGGGATGCGGTGGGCTGCACCCCCCGCGTGCCAGGCAGACAGCGAGCACCGCTTGAGGCCGATCCGGGAGAACAGCTTTACTCTGGGCTTCCTTCTAGGTGGCGAAATGTGTATGATCAACTCCCTTTTTGGAGGGGAAGACAATCGGCTTAGTGAGGTTAGGGCTCTGGGAAGGTGTACCTGACCTCGCAGTTTGCAGAGTCCCTCCCCTTCAGGTGAAGCGCCAAAGCTCCATCGCAGGCTGTGAGGGAAGCCCCGGAGGGCCAGTTGGCCCAGTTGCGGAGGCTTGATGGCAAGAGTGGTTAGTCCGACTTTCTGAACTATGAAAAGGTAAAGGAAGGACCCAAGCCTGGGCCTTTGAAGTCAGAGCTTACCGCAGCTTCCCCCTGGGCGGGTCTGCCCTTCCTTGCCGTCCCATCTCCCTTAGTACGGCTCTGTGCCTGTGCATCGGAGCAGGGGTAGGGGCAGGAGAGGAGCAATAAATAGCCTGCATGCCTGTGCGCACAGCCGTGTTACAGGACCTAGGGAACTGTTAAAGTAGGCGGGGCTGTCCTCACGTTCTGCTCTGTCCTTTTACCAACCGTGTGACCTTGTGCAGCTGAGCCTCAATTTCTTCATCTCCATAACAGACAAATATCTCAACGTGTCACGTTCTTACCTAAATTCTAACTGCAGGAGTTAATAAAGAGGCAATTCAATAAACCAAGTACCTCCAGGACCTAAATAATGAACATCAATCTAGGAATAGGGAAGTTGACAGAAATGGCTGCCAGGCTCCAAAGGACTAGCTTTGGAGGCTTTTTCTGTTCTCCTTCTCTCAGCCTTTGGAGCCAAGGTGTTTCCCTCGTCCCTGTTCCTTGGCTCTACACTCTCACAAGGATTCCTGAGAGGTTAAGCACTGGATCCTGGACTCCAGACTGCTTCCTGGAGACATGTTCCTGTTCTTCTAATGGCTGTGGCAATTTCACCGAAGTCCCCCTAGCCAACTGGATGTTGAGCAAAAGAGAAGAGCAATGGAAAGGAACCACGTGTATCATGTAGTTGATATGAATTTCCCAAAGAAAACTTTCATATGGAATCACCTCTATCATGAGGAGGTTGTCAGAGTTTCATGCTCATTCCTTTATTTTGTTTGGTTGACCACTCTGAAAATGAACAGTCTTGGCTCTGTAACTTCAAGAGACACCAAATAACCATACTATTGTTGTTTTTGTACACCAAACCTCACTCATTTGGCTCATTCCCCTGATAGAAAAGCTCCAGTTTGGAGCTGAGTATGTACTGAATGCTTTGGATGTTCAATATTCCAGAATTTGCACTTGGGTCATTAGCCCAGACTTTTTCTGTAAAGATTAGCTCTCTTTTCAGATAAAGACTGGAGTCCAAAGTTACCAATCCACTTGCGGAAGGTTCTGAAGCACACTAGTCAGTCCTGCTATAGGACTAAGGACAAAGTGCCTGAATGTTTTGCTGTAGATTACCTGTATATCCTATGACATTTCCACATCATTTAATACCAACTAAATGTATGTCTTTGGAGGGCTGTTCTCAAAGTAGGTATTCTGGTGGAAAGGGAGATAAAAAAGTCAAGTCCATATCCCTTATCTCTAGGAGATTACAGTGTTGTATAGGAGACAAACATGATGTGCAGGACTATAACACAAGGTAGAATGTGGTACATCTTAAGTTAGATTCAAAGTGTATTTCAGAAATGCAGAGCCTGGAAAGATGGCTTCTGGTGGAAAGATTAGAGGAAAAGTTAGAGGGAGAATTGACATTGATGTAGAGTCAGCTTACAGGCTGTAGCCATACCAAACCTCCTGCTGATCCCCCAGCTGGCCATGTGCTTTCAAATCTTCTGCATATTCCTGCTACCTTATCAATATCTGTACAAACCCTACCTGACTTTATAGAAAACATTCAACTGACATCTCAAATTTGCTTGAACATTGGAATCACTTGAGAAGGCAAGATACTGCTATCTAGCCCTAATCTGAAAGATTCTGATTTAATTGGTCTGGGATATGGCTTGAGAATTGAGATTTATAAAAGTTCCATGATTCTAATATGAAACCAAAATTGAGAATCACTGGTCTCAAGTTAATGCCATAGTCCAAAAAGTAGGTCTATGTGTCAGGGCTCTGGGTGCTATAGAGAATTCATGAATCATCCCTCAGATCTCTCCTTCTCAAAAAGGGAAGTCTGATATTTCTCTTAAGGCTGGATCAAAACAAAATCTCACAACCCTTGAATGACAAGAGTCTTGCAGGGCAGTGAAGTTGATTCCAGGCAATGTGGTGCCCAGTGTTATCAACTCTGTATTGAGAAATGCAGCCCTCCCTGGGTCGCTTGCACTCCTGAGCATTTCACTGGGTGTTCCGAGAATGTACTTCTTTATATGGGTTATTTCTTAGATAACTGGGTGCCACCTCAAAGTTTCTGATTCACTAAGCCTGAGGTAGAGGCCAAAAATGTGCATTTCTAACGAGTTCCATTGTGACACTGATGCTCTTGGTGCAAGATTCATACTTTGAGAATTTCTTTATCAAAACAACTCCTTATGAACAGTGTTTCTTAAACTTTGTTGTGTATCAAAATGCTCTTAACAAACACAGATGTCTGGCTTTTAAAGTAGAATCAAGTTTGGGCCTTCATATTACTGAGTTCCCCAGGGGTTCTTTAACCCAACAAAGTTTGAGAACCACTGCTTTAGTTAGTGATATTTCTCCCAGGAATATCTGGAGACATTGTTGTTTGTCACAACTAGGAGAATGGAGTACAGTTGTACAATTGGCATCTAATGGGTAGAGGGTATGGATAGATGCTAACCATCTTTTGATGAACAGGACAGCCTTCCACAATCTAAGTATCAACCATGCTCAAGTTGAGAAACCCTAGGGTAGAACATAGTTTAAGCACTACATATCTTACTCAATTCTCTTATTTTATGAGGAAACATGGGAACACAGGTCACATAAATAGGCAGTGGTAGGACTCATATGCTTAATTTTATACACTAAAAGACAAGATGTTATGCTGGATGTCATAGAACACAGGATAACAGTAGCTTTGTGAATGTTTCTTAAAGGAGATATAAAACAAAATGCATGAAAGTAAGAAAGAAACGATAATTTGAGAAAAAGGAGCCATTGTAGGAATAAAATGTTGAAATTTCTGCTAAGATAGGTATGAACTGGGAGCCTGCAATTTCACTTTTCCCCCATTACTTACGAATTCAGAGAACAGCCAGAGCACAAGAGAATCCATCCAAAAACTTTAAGAGAAATCCAATCACTTCCTTTTTTATTATATTTGGAAGAATCTTGACAGAAGCTTGAATTTCCTTTCAACTTCTGTTTACAAGTCAACAGCATCTCCGCACTGCTTACCTTAGGGAACCTCCAACAAGAAGGAATTGAGAAAAAAGATCTTCCAATGCTTCCTGTTTTCCCCAAATCGGTTTAGTTTTTCCAAGTTGACTTCTCTCTCCTGCAGAATCTTCACGGAACAATAAAAGCACACTCAGGCTTCAGTGTTAGACTTAATCAACACTTTCCATAAGCAGATCTAATATTAGTTTACGCTGGTCATGGGTAACCAGAGCTCTTGCTTGCCCCAAACATCTTTGATTCCTTTGAAATGAAAGGAATAATTCTCACTATGCAACAACCCAACCCTGTTCCACTGCTGTTGATGCTGGCTACAAGGCAACTGTTTTGAAGACTTTTTTTCTTACTCAAATAAGATCATCTGAAAACTTTTTTTTTCCTCCACATAAGTTAGTGTGAAAGGTAAGCCACCAACAATCTATCGCCAGAAGAGAGAGTGAGAAAAAATCCTCCCTGGAGGAAGAAGGTTTTTTTTTTCAGAAAAATTAATATTTAACTTACATTAAAAATCAAACGGGAGCTGCCACATTCCAGAACTGTCTGTTCCTTTCCAATTTCCTTAATAGCTCTGTCTCTCTGCTTGCCTTAATTCCTGATTGAACTTGAAAATTCCAAATCAAACAGAACTCTGTAAACACTCTGTCCCCACTCCGTCATGAAGACATTCTAAGTTCATTCCTCAGGAGGCTCACATCTTAGTTGAACAAGAAAAAAGTGAAATAAGAATGCTGAGCAGTCTCCAAATACTTTAAGCTAAAAACACAACACAAACTGAAATCCAGAAAATTGGACATATCTTAGGTACTGGATATTAAGTATAGTTTTTTTCACAAACATTTAATCAATTTCTTTTCAAGAGTCTCTTCGAGTAAAACATTAGCATTGTAATTCCACCAGTGAGAAAAGGATTTATATAAGAGGAATGACTTACCAAAGCCCAGTTTCCAAGTTAAAGGCCAGGACTGACGCCTATTTAGTGCTTCCCCCACTCTGCCACACTGCCTCTTCCTAAGCCTGAGACATCTTCATAGGTCCTGTCTAAAATTCTGCTCTATTAAACTTGTACAGACTACACCTTTTCTTCAGTCACCAATTTTGTTCTGCATTCAGTTAGAGTCACTGACTAATAACATTTTTTTCTGCAGAGTAAATATGGATAAGGTGCATGTGTGTGTGTGTGTGTGTGTGTGTGTACACACAACACCATATCTATTAGATAGAGGCTTAATATGACTCTGAACTCACTTGATAGGTAACATATGCATGGAAACACATGAGGATAAACAGGTTCTTAATTGACTCCTTTGTACGAGATGCCAAATCACTGTGTATGGATGCAAAGTAAAACTTTACCTGTCAGAAATTCTGAAAGAGATTACTCTGTGTGCATAGATGATCCATCATTCTGAGATGACCTTCCTGCCCTGCCTATCTTTGAGAACTCCCCTTCCCATATCCTTCCTCTGAAATGGGGCCCA